GATGTTGCCATTTCAACTTGACTCACCCTTTTGTGGGCAAGGCAGGGGTAAAATTTAGAGAAGGAAGTGGTCATTCCAAGTTGACTCACCCTTTGGTGAGCCACTGGAGGGGTAAAATTTAGAGGAAGAAGTGGCCATTCCATCTTGACGGCCCTTGTAAGTGAGCAAACATGCGGGAAAGGGCCTGTGTGCGCGCATGAGTCAAATCTGTGTGCGCAGATGAGTCGCCGCCCTTCCAATAAAGCCCCGCGACAATTACATTCTTCACTAAGCCCCGCGACAATTACATTCTCCACTAAAGCCCCGCGACAATTACATTTTCCAATAAAGCCCCGCGACAATTACATTCGTTAGCATAAAAATAAAAACCCTCAGCATAAAAATAAAAACCCTCAGCATAAAAATAAAAACCCTCAGCATAAAAATAAAGACCGTTAGCATAAAAAAAAAGAACCCACCCAAATCCAGCGTAAAAAAGAACCGTTAGCATAAAGAAAAAAACTATTCCCATTTCCTTTTAAGACCTTTTTTTTTGGTCTTGGTAATCATGCGCCCTAGGTCATCCATTTCGGCAGCGCTGCAGGCGGACGCTTATGCCCTAGATGCGCTTGGCAAGTTCGAGTCCCTCAGACCAGAATGACTTTGCCAATGTTTTGGTTTTGTCTCCTCTTTCTAGCTATTCATGCTTGAAAATATATACTTGAAATAAACCTCGATCCGCCTCCAAATGCCAGGAACGGGCGTTTAGTGTGGAATGCCTGGCTGAGCCGGGGTTTGGTGACTGTGGAGGACATTTCCAAGTGACGTTACCAAGGACGGGGTTGAAAACGGCATTATATAATTGTTCAAAAGCATTGGACATGGCAATGGTATCCATTAAGCAGGGATTTGAACAGTAAATTTGTGAGCCAAACTTTAAAATGGGCGATACGTGTCGCACCTTCTTTGAGTATCATTGATTCTATTTGCATGTGTGGAGCTGCAGCAGTTAGAATATGACTTGACGATATATATATATATATATCATTCCGGAAACATGATACATTCCACATTTCCACTGTTGGCAACTTACTATTTACAGCATGTGTGTGTGTTGTGTGTATATAGATTTCAATCTTGCAAGCACTTGGCATCCTAACTCCCACCCGTTCCCACCCTGAGGGGACAAAGCGGCGGTGATGGCACTTGTGGGGAAGCGCGGCAGGGACTCCATGAAAGATTTGCTGTCCATTGTGACTGCGCCTGAAATGACGTGCGATGAGAAAGAAGCCCAGGATTTGGAAGATTTGAGAAAAGTGCCACTGCAACAAGAAGAGACTTTGATCTGGGCCATCCAGCCTGGCAGCTGATGGGGAATCTGCAGTCAGGCAGCCACTGCCCCAGTGTATTTCTGACCCATTGGAAAGATCCGTTGTGAAGTGGGTAGAAGAACATCAAAATTGGATGACAAAAATCGATGACCGTGCCATGCTGGGAAAAGAGTTGCCGCCAATGGACAAAAAGACATACTGTCAGCGGCTTGAAAATTCATCGGAGGCAACCTTGCTTTTTAGCAAGAGGACACGGAGCTTGACAAATGCTCCGCGGAAGAACGCAAGCATCAATCGCCTGAAAGCGGAGCTGTTTTCCTTGACCTTGACTTTGTCAATGGATGTGTGCGACCTTAAAATCAGGGCCGGCCAGGGTGAGCCACGCAGGCTTGTGATGCTCAAGAGCAATGTGGCTCCCGCTGATACTTTGCCAGATATTGTGAGCCAAAGCATTGGTGTGGGTGTGGAGGAAATCTTGGCCCACCCGCTTCCGGAGGAGCTGGACGAGGAGCAAAGCGAGGTGGATGTGGAGGCCGATGCAGACTTGCAGGAAGCTGAAGCCGTCTTGGAGGAAGAAATGCAATTCCAGGGGTCTGGGCGCCTTCATGCCAACCACCTTCGTTCGTGTGAAGAGCTTCTTTCACAGGCCGGCATATCGACGCCTTCATGAGTTGGGATTGGCCAGTCTTCCTCCAGGCCATGGAATTCGTATCCCTTATCATCAAGGCAGCCGCACCTGGACCGGCTACTTCAACCAAAGTAGCGCGGGGACTTGCTTCACACACGGTGGAAGCACGAAACGTTCAGAGTGTGAGGCGCTAATTCTTTGCATACGATGTATTTTGCAGAAATACACAAATACATTTCCTCGGGATGCAGCGTGGAAGGCTCAACTTGACAAGGTTTTGAGGTTCGAGGCTTCCAGCGCTACCATTTAGAGCTGGTGGTAGAACAATGTCTTTTAGAACAATGTCATTTAGAACAATGTCATTCTAACTCTATTTTGTTCCAGCTGTATCTCTGTCTATGTATCTATATATGTACATATATAATTATTGTGTTCTATATTTCTTTATTCAAATAATCTATTAATTTCAATGTGTGTTGTGTTTACAAACATCTATATACAGTAGGTATTTCAATGGTCTGCAAAGCATGGTTAGCCAGCAGCTCATGTGTGCTCACTCCAAAAAGAATGGAGAATTCCGGATACACGTGCACGCTGCATGTTTGCCAACAGTGGCAGTACCGTACAGAGAACATGAAGATGGGGAAAAGGTACGAACCGATGCTGCGCAGGGCGTTGGAGGGTTTGTTTACTCTTGTTTTGGTGGCACTTGAGGCATGTCATCTGATTTTTCAGATGGTCAAATGAAATTCCCATCGTTTAGTCTTACGTATATAAGTTCCGTCTTGTCTTCAGTCAGTCGTAAGTTGGACGATGCCAGCATTCTATCTGTTAAACCCATCGGCCTGGCCCAGTTGAAAATGCCTGCTTTCTATCTTGAAGCCTGTTTGAGGCTTCTTTGGATGCATTCTTGAGACAAGATTTACAGCATTCTATCTGTCGTTTGTCCCGCATATAAGCAGTAAAATGACCAAGAGCAGGCGTTTCTGGCACCTGAGCATTCTATCTGTTAAAATCATCGGCCTGGCCCAGTTGCTTGAAGCCTGTTTGTAGCATCTTTGGATGCATTCTTGAGACAAGATGTAAAGCATTCTATCTGTGGTTTGTCCCGTATATATGCGACCTGAGCAGTCTAACTGTTGATTTTCACGCATTCTAAGTGGGTGGTCCAAAAATTTGGAACTCACCGGGCCATTCTAACTTCCAGTCCGGCGGTATAGAGAAAAGAAGCCAAGGAGAAGTCAAGTAACAAGAAGCAAATAGGGGCTCCTGGCATCGCTACTAGGAGCAAGGACGCGACTAGGGCTCCTGGCTAGGAACAAGAAGCTACTATAGGGGCTCCTGGCATCGCTCCTGGGAGCAAGGACGCGACTGGGGGCTCCTGGCCTTACTACTGGGAGCAAGAACGCCACTAGTTTTGGAGTTTCATGGAGTTCCTTCAACTGCTTTGCCTAAGTGAAGAGTTGAGGATGAAAGAGGTGGTTTGGCTCGAGACCGTTTTCGGGGGGTCCTAGGTCACGTACGAGTTCGTGGTTTACACCAGCCACAGGCCATTGCTTGATAACTCGCTCACATCATTCAAGAGGGTTTTTATCTTTCATATTCTTACATTAACTTTTACATGCCTACGACTCTACTACCTTTGCAGGTGCAGCTTGGAATGCATTCCAGAGAAGAACTTCTTCCATGGAGGACAACCGCCGTGGAAGTGCGAAGGCAACTACGAGGTGAGCTTCCGAAGAAGCACCAATTGATACTAATTGCCTTTAAACATTTTCAGACTTGCCTTGTTAGCACCAAAAGTGGACTCTGGTTCAATTTTTGATCTCAGGATTTGTAGAACTCTTTCTACATTTTGTGCACTCTACACTCGTAGAAGCTACTCAGTGACTCCAGATTTTGCCTTAGGTGGACGAGGATGATATTGTCATGGAGGTTACCCAGCAGGACGTGACTGGACCACGGCGTGACAGCGATGTCCGGGCCTTGGTATTGACGCCTTGGTAGAGATATCGAACGATGTAGAGGCAGAAGGTCCAGAAAATGACAACCCCAGCTTGATCTCTGGCATCTACTTGTTTATGAGGCGCTTTGTCAGGCTGTCAAGACGCTCCACGAAACGAGGGTTGGGATTTGACACAATGCTCCAAGAGCAACATGCAGCCGCTGCAGCCAGCCACATTTTCAGAACACAGATGTGGCCAGTCTCAACATTCAGAATGGGATTTCCCGTGGTTTTCATATCCTCGCTCTTCTGGCACAAAGGTGCACTTGGAGATATCTGGCAATGACGTGACGTTTCGAAAGACACGGCTAGCTTGGGCAGCTTGACTGGATTGAAAATCCACCGAACGCGGCCCAAAAGTGCAGGGCCTTGCCATAACTTATATACTATATAATGTTTACGGCGCTAGTATACATATACCAAGCATCGTTGGATGTCCGGGAATGTCCGGGATGTCCAAGAGAATGCAATTTCATGTTCATACCAACAAGTGGTTGACAGAAAGCTCCAAGGTCTTTCTATTAAACAGCCTAGCTGTTCTTGATTGCCCTATGAGTTCGCTGTGTCGGTCTTGACCTTGTGGCGTGAACCGAGGTTGGAGGACCACCCGCCTTGCCTTCACAGGATCCGGTGAAGCTGAAGAAGGCGGACAACCGTTTCAGAGCAAGCAGTGTACCGCTCTTTGCCAGCAAGCCGTCGGCAAGCCCATGTAAGCCCTCTATTGCTCTAACTCTATTGAAAGTTCCACCGTGTCCACCACTCTTGCATCATGATGTCTGAGTTTGGTTCAATTCAGCAATGTTTAAAGTGCTGTATTGCACTAATTAAGCAGAAGATATTATTTTATATAGGTGGCTTTTCAACTAGGCTGCTTCTCTTGAGTCAGGATTTCGATTTTGCAGCACCATTAGCCAGGCACAACTTCAGAAAGAAGAAGAGGAAGCTGCCCGGCGAAAGCTGGAACTGGAAACCGCACGAGAGGAGTGCGACCCCATGGAACCCCTCTCAAGACCTCTCAGGGATTCCTCTTGTGACATGTTTTTTGTCGCATCATCTGTGGAGTCAGCCCTCAGGAGTCCATAGAAACTACTATATATATGTATATATATATAATATTCCAGGACAAAGGCCACCCAATTCAAAAAGATTACTGAGCATCGCTCCCTGGATCTTGCCAAGCCAAAACCTGGCATTAAACACAAAATACTAGTGGATGAATAATATGTGTTAACACCTGCCAACTGAACAAACCAAAATGCAAACAAGACATTCATTGTCAAAATGTAAGCGTGTGGCAGGATAGCACAATGACATGCAACACTCGAGGTTCACATAATTACCGCTCCGCTCATGCTGGCCCGAAACAGTTTGAAGGAAAAGGGTCCGTCGCTAGCGCTTTGCTCCTGCTGCGCGTCTGGTAAGCGGAGCCCCTCGACCCTGAGAGGCGACTCGAGGCGATGCTTCGCGACCACCGCTGGTCGCGCCGCTGCGCTCCTCCTGTGGTGTCGTGGCCCCTCACTTTCTTCGACTCCGGCCGCTGCGCCGGGCCACTACAAGACTGCGCCAGTCAACAGATTTCTGTGAAGGGCAGGACTTTGCAGGTGCCTGCGCCACTTCACCTTCGAGCACCTTGCGGCGGAAGAAGAAGCTAGGGCGCAGGGTCATAGAGACGCAAAGGCCGTAGAAGTCAAAGAAGCTCGGCAGCGAGACCGCCAGCGCGAGCGTAAGGAACCGCTCCGAGAACTCCAGGCAATGCGGGCAGCGGACAAAGAGGCACGGCGTCGGCCAGGGAAGGCAACTCCCAGAAGCGCCGAGAACTCGACGCGCGAGACCACGGGCACATTTGGAAACGCCTTTTGGATCCATTTGGTAGAGATTTATGGGGTGATATGGGGTGTAGCCCAACCATTCTGCAAGAGCCTTATCATTGTGTACACATATATGTCACATATATACATCCTCTTGCAATGGGCGGCCCAAGATCACCATGCTAATTTTTACAGGGGTGTGCCTTCCTTGATCTTCTTGTAGATTCTTTTTCGTCCTTTTGCCCTGCGATGGCTTGCAGTAATGCAGACTGCCCCACCTCGGAAGAAGCTTGTGACAGTCACGCGCCGGGATTGCAGAATGTAATATGGGCTGATGCGCCTGCAGGATTTTTGGAGGCGAGCCGGCGCAGCGTTGATGTGTCAAGGCTGTTTGCGCGGCCGTGGGCGAAAGCGCGAGCGGCTCGCGTTGTGAGTCCCTGTGGCCATCCATGCCCAGCTTGCACAGCTTTGCCACAAGCAACAAGGTGGCAGACGTCCAGTCCGCTCTGCGGTGGTAGCGCCTTGCAGTTCGGGTGTGGTTGCATGGTTTTGTTGGATTAGTGTGACTTGGTGGCAGTCCATGCTTGTGCCTACCGCGACCACTAAAAGGTGCGCCTGGTGATTTCGTGGGGGCTTGCGGCTAGAACTTGTAGGGTAGAGTTTTCTTACACACTTCTCTATCAACTTTTCTTCCTTTTAAGAGCGACATTTGTACAGAACATGAAAACATATGCGCTGCTTGTTCTAACTATACGTTTGCTTGCTTCCTCCTTTCCTCATCTAAAGCAGCGCATTCCAAAATGCTGCCTACTTCACAGACCATTTTTGTTTGTCAGGGCGTGCTGCCCCGTGGTTAAAAGAACACGTAGTTGGTGAAATCCATGCCTATAAAAATCAATCTCCTCTAAATGACGACTCTCCTGCTCAAAGGACACTCAAAGAAACATATTTGTACGAAAACCAGCCAGTAGGCTGAGCTGAAGTTCTATCAGGCGAACGAATCGAAGTGGGATTTACGGTGTGTGTGTGCCCCTTGTAGTCACAGGGATCCTTTTGGATTGCGTTTTGTTTGCATTTTTTCTTTGTTCAGCAGGGGGGCACGGCACCAGATTGCAGACCGTGTCTAACAAAGCCAATCAATCTGGTGGGATATCCAGCTTGGCCAGCTGGACGTACCTGCAAAAAAATAATATTTTTGTAAAGTACTAATGCATCTGCAGTCACGCGGTACGCCGTCATCCTGTCGGCTCGTCGCATCGTGAAGTTTGACTTCTGGCCCTTAACTAAAGGCGCTTAGGCCCCTCACCTGGTTTTTCAGGATTTGGTTTCTTAGGCTGGCGTGTGGCACCGCATTCACATCAGTACGCATTTCTATAAGTGTGTCTCTCCTAGTGAGAGCCCAGGGTGACCCCGCAGAGTGGCCCCTGTGGACCCGTTGAACGCCGTTGAACGGGTGTTAGTCGACCGTACCCTGCCTGGATACAGTGGCTGCTCGTAGCGAGCGTAGGTGGCCTATAGGCCGAGAGTACTCAGAAGTTTGTCCAATTTATTGAGCTCCAAGCTGGCTCATGCCTTCACGTGACCGCAGCGGTCAAAGAATTTTGAGGTTTGTTAGTCAAAATATCACGCACAGTGGTAACCCCTAACTTGCCATGTCATGAAGGGTTCATGTACAGTTGTTTAGGTCGTCGGACATTCGAACATCGTCTCACTCCGACGCCTGCTTTGGCTCTTGCAAGAAACAGGCGCGTCCGCGTTTGTTTCAGCTCTCGCGCACGTCAGTCGTTTCGCCCGCCACGCCGTGCTTTCGTGCATTTCGATAGGTTGCCGTAACGTGCTCCCTTCGTTCGCACACTCCACAACGGCAGATCGAACATGTCGGAGTGGCACGAAAGGGTGGTCCGAGGACCAATAGCCCTTTGGTAGTCGGTATTGCGGCTGTGGAGTGCCCTGCAGTAACGTTAACGGAATAGAGGAGTTGCCAAAGTTCTGGCAATATTGTGGCCCATCGCAAGATAGTATCCACAGGTAACAATTCCCCTTCGGTATCGAAGGCCCAGAGGTCCGAATGGCGCAGTACGTAGGAGAACCATTCGGGGTACTGCTTTCTGGCTACGTGGGGCGAAATTATAGGGGAAGGTTGAACAGACGTCCGAACCGGGCGTATATCTCCAAGCTGGGCTCGAATATATTCGCACGTGGTGCCGTGCGCCAGGTTCTCGCGTCCGGGTTGGTGTTTGACACCAGCCCGACAACCACGCCTTCGGGTTCGGTCCCTCTCCACAGGTTCCGCGCTTGAAGCAGCGGCTCAAGCGGCTCCACCAACTCCCTCCACCTGTTGGGGCCCACCGGTCTCGACGTTGGCAGGTTCCGGCTCGACACCAGCCTCAGCGGCAGATGCTTCCAAGGCGGCTTCGAGGTCGTACTGTTCCTGGATCCGACGAGCGATCGACTCGTTGTCCTCCTCGAGCGATGACGCGTCGTCGTCACCGAGGGGATCGAACAAGTTATTAGTGGGGATGGGCGGACTATGTGGAGTCGAAGAAGCCTGGGCAATCAAACGGTCCGGAGGTACGAACTCTTCTAGTTCCTCCTCTGCAGGAATCGGCTGATCTTGCTCTGCAGGGTTGGGAGAGTTCATACTATTCGAAACCTCCTCCACGCGGCCGGCGGGCCTTGGTCGGTGGAGTCGATGGCTTGGGTACTAGTTACCGAATGCTGAACCACGGGGGTCTGATGACCTTGGTCCGTGGTGCCTGCGTCCGGGACGGTCTCAGTTACAGGCGCCGCGCTTGGAGCAGCGGCGCCCTCGCCTGTGTTGTTTTGACCCTCCAGGTTGGCTGGGCCTGCAAAAGGTTCTTCCAGCTCGAGTTCCCGATCCTCGATTTCGAATGTGGACAGCAAGGTAGGGCCAGAGTCGGCTTCTGACGCCGCACCGGCCGACTTGGAGCTGTCGGAACCCGCGCCAGCGGCAGCGGCTGGGGATCTTGGTTGTCCACGTACAACCTCAAAGCGTCAACGGCCTGAGAACCTAGTTCGGTCAAGGACGTGACCTCCGGCTGCTCCTGCCCGCCTACTCCTAGCGAATCCGCGCTTGGAGCAGCGGCTTGCGCTGGTCCAGGCTCGGGTCTTTGGCTGGAGGGGTTACTACTTAGTCCTAGCGAGTCCGCGCCGGAGGCAGCAGCTTGCGCTGGCTCGGCTTGGGAATTGCGAGACTATAGTAGGAGGCGGACTATTAGAGCTCGTAGGTTGGTTAGACCTACGGCTGATAACCAATGAAAGTGAAGGGTTCAGGGATATCAACACCAAACAGCCACCACAACCTACAGAGTGGGAGGTGTTCAGAAAGATACCCAAGTGTATGGAGAACCCTGGCACGGGTGGGTGCACGACGGGGAGTCCCGGAAAGGATTGGCCCCCGTGCGGTTGCACCACCTCGTACTGTGTTCAACTCAGGTTCGAAGGCCTCATCGTCCGCAGCACCACCACGCGCCGATCGCTCTCGTTCGGCCGCGCCCAAGGTCGCAGCTGCCTCTTCGGCAACTGTTGGTGCTTCGGCAGCCGGGTCCTCCTGGCGCCCTTCGCTAGACTGTGGCCAGTCGGAAGTCATTCTGACGCCTCGGTCCGAAGTGGAAGCTAAGGCCTCCAAGGCCAAGGCTGCAAAGCCCAGTATCGTAGAGACCGTGTTTATGATCTAGACTGGTCCAGGTCCCAGAAACGGAGGGTGATCAACTCCTCCCCGCATCCGCGGTTGATCCTGGCGCAGCCCTCTACGAGCTCGACGCTGAGGATTCTGATAACTCAGACCAGGAGGCCCGAGCCCGCCGAGTCCGGAACCTAGAGGGACGCATAGAGGAGGCAGGCTGGTTGGATTGGCTCGAGGGCGAGCGCCCAAAGGCCATCCCTCCGCAGCACCCAAAGCCGAATCTTGTCGAGCCAGCTTCAAAGCGCGTTCGAGTCGTCTTGAACGCAGACGCTCTGCGAGAGGTCCCACCGGTCACCCCTCCGCACGTTCGACAAGTTATCGTAGTGCCAAAGGTATAAGCCAAAGGGTGCTTCTGTTGCCGCCGGCCCGCGGGTTCCAGTTGCGGAGCCACAGCTGTCTGCGACCGCAGAACAGGTTTTCGTGCTGTTGGTCATGCCTCACCTAGACCCTCCAAACATGTCCGCGGG